AGGAAAATTGCATAGAGTTCTCAGATTGAATTTTTTATGTGTATGACTTCATGATGGCATTAGCATGTGCTTTGATCCATGTGTGAATGGCACTGGGTCGGCTCTTATTGCCATATCCAGATGGTGTTACAGGGAACAAACAGTTGTGTTTTAGGATTTCTCAATAGACTGTCTAGACTGGTCTTGCAGCAGACAGATACAGCCACCCATCAAATTAGCGTTTGTCAGATTTATGGTAATGGTTCACCAAAGCCTTCCTGTCATTGACATTAAGATTTACGCCTCCAAAGTTATTTTGTCTTCCGCAGCGTGTAAAGTCTGATCATATGTATGTGTGATTATCTATATGTAGATGTATATTTGCATATATAAATTTTTAACTAAAGGGAAGGAAAGCAACTGAAGAGAGGTAATTGGTATGGTAAGAAGCAGAATTTTTAAAGTATTTTTTTAAGAGGCTGATTCCTACAGCTGTATTGATTAGGGAAGCTTTCCCTCGCCAGTCCATCCCCTCCCTTCAAATGATAATACGGATGTTCTGTTCTAGCCAGTGTCTCCCATATGCCCTTTTTAGAAAGAAAAACATGTATGTGGATTACTACGGCTAGATTTTGCACTTTCATGTTACACTGCAGTAATATGAGCTGCTCCCTGTACGCAGTGGGAATAACCTTTTGACAGGCAGTATGTCCATTCTCAGTGGAAATGTTTTTCCAAGTCTGGCCAGCGCTCCTTTGATCATGCCACCTCAAACGTAGGGGTCATAGCTACTATGCAATGTAAGAACCACTGATGGTTGACCAGGGAGAGATGATTTTGAGGAAAGCATGTTTAAAATAAGCCAAATGTTTTGAAGTATCTTTTTGTTGCTTTTTTTTTGGGGGGGGGGCGGGGGCGGGGGGGGTGCATCAGCAATTTGTGTTGCAGTGGGAAAGCTAAGCAGAAGCATTGGGGAATTTTTAAATTATGCTAAGACATGCTGGTACATTTGATGGTGGAAACAAGAGGTAGTGTAAATTTAAAATATCTGAATTGCAGTGGCAAGCTCTGGGCTTTAACATGCCAGAGCATGTTTTGAAAGTGTTTTCCTGTTACAAGGATATTTCAAGAATAGCAAAGGGAGTAATGGGATGATGAAAGGATCCAGATGTTATAATAAACTGTATATTTGAGGAGTATACCACTTAATGAAGAAACAATTTTACACAATACTTGAATTAATTTGCAAGTCTCTCTGTGGTATGTGCTTTGGAAAGTCTGTCCCCTCTTTGCTAGGAATAGTTATTACTGATCATGAATCAGAACAAGAATTCAATTAAATATAAAGCCACTTTACAGATAGTTTTATCCTCTGCTATTGGTATTTTTCTTGCTTTAAGGAGATTTGTGACATTGGAAGAAAGTAAATATATCTGGTAAATATGCAAATAAAATTAAATATATAAGTACTATTGACGAGAATCAGCTCCAGGGAAACAATGTTCCCTGTGCACTGTTTTGGGGACTGATAGCCTCTTTGCTACACAGCAGCAGGGTATTGCTGAATCTTGGAAAAAGCAGATACTTTATATTTTGCAAATCTGTGATCAGAGGCTTTGATGGTATAATACTTGTTTTTTGGAGATTTCTGTGATTTATGTGTTCTGAGCATGTTTGACTGTTACAAAGTTTTCCTCTTTAAGTTCTTTAGTGAAAAGAATATTAAATATCAAAGAAACAAATCTACACAGGAGAATAGGAATTCTTTTTATGCAGAGAAGGCATAGGGCTGTTCTTTCTCTTATTTTTTCTCTTTTCTTTTCATATTTCATAGGGATGTTATCTATGGCTGTTGGGTCTAATGGTTTGTCAAACTTTGTCTCTCTGTTTCACCTTCTCCTGTGTCAGTGGCAGCATTTTTTCACTCTGCCTTTTAAGCAGAGTAGGAGAAGCAGTCTTGGTTATGATTTTCCTTCCTGTACTCCAGCTTTATCAAAATAAGCATTTGTTGCATTCAGATATTTTAATTAACCTGCTAATTTTACATATGAACTTAAAATTAACTACTATTAATACAGCACTTAAATAATTGAGTAAACATTGTAACTTGACTATAGTTTTTTAATTCTGATTTTAACTGAATGTTTTAAAACATGTATCTACAAACAATAAATATAGATTTATTTTTATTTTATTTTATTTTATTTTTTTTTCAAGACCAGTAAATTATACTTGGTTACTTTTTTTACTCCTTGCTTATGGTGCACTGGAAAACTATATACAGCTTGGGAGACTTTAGATGTAAAATTTTTCTTAGAAGTTGAAGAATTGAGATTTTTCTTTCAGCATACTTCTGGTTTTGTTTTGATATATTGAAGACTTGGAATGAAATATTACTCCATGCTGCCTTAACTTGTATCAATCAGCTTAAAAATTTTACACAGTTTAAATTTTCAAGAATTGCTACTTCTAGAGCTACTTTTATTTACTTATACTTAAGATAATAAGAGTATTTATATAAGCATTTCTCACCTTAATCAATGTGGTTTAGCATTACTTTGTTGTTCATTGCAAATGAATTTGTCAGAGGTGGGCTAAAAGATTCACATTTTTTTGTGTGCTTGTGTTTTGGTTTCCCTCAACCCGCTCAGTCTTATTTCCGGATCAGTCTAAACTTACCAAAAGTAACAGAGGGATTGATAAAAGAGTGGGCCTAGCCAGGTTCCTGGCAGGATGGTGTGTTGTGCTGCCTGAGGTCAGTGTGTTACAAACTGTTGTCAGTTCTGAGAGGCAAAGACCCCTGATACCACAGCCAAGGATGGTTTGCTCTGTGAGCATGTGGCTGGAGTGGAGAAGGAAAACTTAAGAGCTGCTGGGTGGTGGTGCTGGGTATTGCCATCACAATGGCTAGGGGTGCTCCCTCACAATACATTCTGGAAAGAGGTGGGCCACCCATGGTGCCTAACTCAGGAGATGAGCAAGCAACAAGATTTAGAACTTTTTGTTGGCTTTGTGCTTGGGTGAGTCACTTTTTTTTTTTTTTTTTTTTTTTTAATGAGATTTTTTTGACAGGTGATGAACTGGGAAAGAGGGTGCTTCCATCTCCCCTCTCTTCTGACAATGTGAAGAGAGAAGTGGGAGTGGGGAGGAAACAAACTGTGGCAACTGGTGTGCGAGACACGGGGGCAGAGGAGTGGAGTAGGTGTTGAAAAGCAAGTGAGCAGCTGAGAGGGGCCTGGTTTTTAAAATCAATAGGGACCAGCCTGTCCCTGCCAGCCCGAAGGCAGAAGATTTCTGCAGCTTGCCTGCCTGAACAGCAGAACCAGGGCACTCTACTCTGGACTCTGCCTGGGCCACACTCTGGATCCCAGGTCCATCTCCTGCACCCCAGAGGCAGTGCAGTCTCCAGTTCTGCCCCTCACTTCTCCATCTGTGCAGATGTTGAGGAAAATTGGGTTAGGGGGAAAGCAGAGCTGCTTGAGCTAATCTTGCATCAGAAGAGAAATCCTGTAGAGCCATGGCCTAATTCCCTTGTCAATGCACACCGCCCTCACACCCAAACTTGCAAGTGTTTTAAATCCCAGCTATCTGGCCTAGGTGGGAATATAAACTAGACCTCAGGTATTGTTTAACTGAGTCTGGCAACCTGCCTGCCGTGCAAACAAGAATTCTGAGTAAGTAGATCTGGCAGTCCTTCAGAGCTGTCCCAGAGCTCTCCCAGAAGCACAGGCAGATGCTTGATGATTCCTTTCCAGTTAATGTGTGAGAGGGTTCTCTTCTCCCCTGACTGTAAAAACAAAGAAAAAAACCACTCTGGTCATTGTGATACACCTCTAGAGATATTTTCACTGGTAAAGAAACAATAAATTGGGTACTGATTACTCACCCTGTGACTAAGCTGGTGTGCATGCTTTGGTCTCAGCACCTGGGCAAAAGTGGCAGTGAATCAACATGCCTGCATTGGATCAAGCAGTCTGTGGAAGTCTATTCAAATTAATAAACTGTTCAGGTTTTTTTAAGGGCCCTCCCCAGTTATGGTAGATTTTTAAGAACACTGTTGACTTACACACTGTGTTTCTTGGAAAATGTTGTCACTTAAGACTTGTATAGATGAAATATCACAGAAGGGCACTGTAGGATTTGTCTTGCTTTTACCGGACAATTGAGGTGGGAAGGGATCTTGGAAGGTCTGTAGTCTAACCTTGTGGTCAAAGGAGGGTCAGCTTAAGGTCTGACTAGGTTGCTCAAGGCTTTGTTCAGCTTAGTTCTGGTCTTGAAACCAAGTGGAAGAAACCATGAAAGATAAGGGCTGTGGAGCCTGTCTGGGCAGTGCTGGACTGTTCCCGTGGGCAAAAAGCATTTTCTTCAATCCGGTCTGAACCTCTTGGGCTTCAATTTGTCCATTGTTTCTTGTCCTCACTCCATTTACAGCTGCATGCATCCCTTCAGAAAGTTCCCAGGACATTTATCTGGATATCTCAATTGCTTTAGATTGTCTCGAAGATTATTATGTGTTTATACTGCTGTGGCTTTCTTAGATTTTGTAAGTCAGATTTCTTTTAGCACAGGGTGCAGCTCAAGACTGCACTGTGATTTTTGAGAGCTGGCACATTCAGTATGCCACATGTAGTATAAGTACAAAATAAATTTGAACAAATAGAAATTTTTGCTTTTGGCAATATTGTCATCTGAAACATAAGGAAAAAATGTGATGCCTTGATGCATTTGCATTAACAAATGCCTGTTCTGAAAGAGGGAAATTAGTGTCTCTGCAAGTAACAAAGGGAAATGGGTTTGTTTATTTTATATATGAGGCTGCATTTAAGGCTCAGAGTTGAGAGACTGATTTTAATTTCATGTAGGAAACCTAGGGCATCCACAAAGACACTAAAAAGTCAACAGAACCAAAAGACAGCAACGTGTTAATATGCTACTGTTTTTACATAGCAGGGCAACCTGAAATTGATGTTAAAATATCCAGCTCTATGAAAACAGATATCTTTATTCTCTCTGCTCCACAGATAGATTTTTCTTTAATGGCTATCAAGTCGGTAAGTGCTTCATGTATTTCTCTTTGGTTTCCTTATGACTTTTTGATAGTCATAAAGAAATGTGAGTTGAGCTACATGCTACATCAGTACTTGCTGAGCTGCAGTCTAGTCTGTGCACAATTTGCAGTGTAATTAAAATTAATTTGAAAACACTTCAGGTACATAAGCACTAATCTATGTGTGAGATTTTATTGAGTTGAGCTAACTTGCATGATTGTATGTAATGTATGGAAGTACTAAGAATCCACTTCTTAATTAACATTTGCTTTGTTTTTGTGCGTTACCTGAAAAGGCTTAAGTAGCACTTGTTTGTGTGTAGCTCCACACAGTCGTTTGAGCTATCTAGGGCCTGGGTAAAGCACATTACTTGTTTTATTTTCAAATCAGTGAACCCCCATTTTTAAAAAGGGACTTTGTTGTGTTCTCTTCCTCTGCCTGATCCGGATGCACTGGAGCTTTTGCTGTCTTGCGCAGTATCTACAATGATTGCTTTCTAAAGTCTGTGCCTTAGGTAGTTAATTTTCTGCAGTGGTACAATAGCATTTTTGATGTGCAGAGCTGCATGTGAATAGCCAGTATTAAAAATCTAGCATCAAGGCCAGAAACTATTTTGTAATACAAGGCTTGACTAACAAAAAGTACTGTTTACTGAAGTGAGTAGCTTGTTTATTAGAGCAGAAAACTAGGAGTTGCTGTAACTGGGAAGACATGGAAAATTGGAACTACAGAATGGTCTCTGCCTTGATTGATCTACTTATTTATGTTACCGCTGTTCCAGCTGAAAACCAATAGAATTGGATTAAAGAAATCTGTTGTAAATTTTTTGCTCCTGCCTTATTCTTACTTTTATGTAAAGGGGCATTTTTTTCATTTTTTAAAAGCTTTCCATGCCACTTTGTAAATTGTATTTTTTGTTAAGACAAAAATGTTGCTCAAATGTTCTGCTCAAAATGCATGGTAATGTGATATGAATGCCTAGGGAAATTCAATATGGCACTCTGAGATGGTGCTTTACTTTTTCTCTTTGTGGGCACTGAACCCGTTCCTATAATCACAATGCTATCACAGAGGAAATTTTGCTGAACTAATAATTGTCTTGCGGTCGAGACACCACCACAAGTATTTCACTGCTGAAGTCAGCTGCGGTGGAAATGAGCCTCCCTCCCCTGATTTGGCCCATAGCAATGATCTCTCAACTGCCATCATCACAGAAATTAATGGAGAAACGGATCCCCTCCCACGCATTAGCATGAAATCAAGCACCCGATCTTGGAAAGAATCTGCTAGCAGACCAGCGGGCTGCCTGGCGCGGGTGAGCAATCCCCACGTGCCGCTTCCCAGGCCAGGGTGCCTGTTGATTCACTTGGAACGCCTCATCCCTGGGGTGTAGCGCTCAGTGATATTCAGCCTAGGGGTGATGAATACATGGATAGCTATGCTTGAATCCACATTCCTGGAGAAGGGGTGCAGTCTCCTGGACAGCCAAAGATGGTAAGAGTTTTTAGCTACTGTTACTATGTAAGCATCTAGGAGTACTACAAATAGTTCCCAATAAAAAAGCCTAATCAAATTCCTCCTACATTCTTTGGGATATGTCAGTCCTTTCAGTAGTTGGGTTTTGAAGCCCGAGCCTCCTATGGTTTAAAATTGGCAATTGCAAAAGAAAAAACATTCCCCCACAAACAACAAACGAGCAAATCCCCCTGAAGGAATGAGGCTACACCATCCAGAAGATTCTCTTTTGCTTCGTGTGTTCATTTTGGTGGGCCCTACATAGTATATGCTGGTACTGAAAATAAAAACTTGACCTTTACCATGCAGTACATCTTAACCTGGGATGATGTTAGAATAAGATGAGACTGTAGAATAAGCACAACTAGGGAATAACATCTTCTTCAGTATTGAAACGGTTTCCTTTGGTTGTTTGGATGGAAGCATTGACCAAAGTGAGTTAAGCACTGACATTATCAGGCTATAGAAAACTACAGAAAAAAAACTAATTGGAACTTGATGCCATATTCCAAAGTCTCTCCTTACAGATTCATGAATATAAATGATATTTAAAAGAAATTATTTGAATACTGGCTCAGCTGGTAAAGAGAAAACTGTATGTACCACGTGGGATATAAAAATCCAGTGAAATAATTCAGGAATCTTCACCTTCATGATGTTAAATGCCTCTAGAACTTCTAGATCCTCAGGTTTCTGAATGAAACTTTCAAGTGTTGCAAATGTTGGGGATGAACAAAGTTATGTGCCCATTCATTTACAGCATGGAGAACACCCAAACTAATGAGCAGAAAATGCTGAAGGGTTTGGCTGACAGTTCTGCCACATGATCTGCAGTATAAAGTGGTTGAAAACTGCAGGATCGTTATGTCAGTATTTTTTTGAGGGAAAAACGTGGTTGTGAAACTGTAACTGAAATTTCTCCCTTTGACAAAATAGAAAATCAAAGGTTTTGTTCATTCATTTATAAAAGTGTTATCTCATGCCTGTATTGAAAGAGGAGTGTTTTGTAGTGTTTGAGAAGTATTGTTCCCTATGTGTGGTCAATGGAGAAATCCAGAAGGTATAGGATGTTTGCTTTCTTTGCCAATATTTGTTTTCAGTATCAATTTATAATGGCAAAAATGATTACATCACATTCTTTAAAAACAAATCCATACAATCTGGTTTTTGTTTTCACTGTCCTAAGATATCAGTGATGAAGTCTGTTTCTAATAACTAGCTAATGAGCCACTGAAATAACTCTTGTTGCTGACATTCTTTCTGGGAAGATTGATTAAATTCTCCAATATGCTACAGTAAAAAGTAGATCTAGTGTGCAACCAACACAGGAAATGTTATGAGCAAATTGCTCTTCCACTCGTGGTGGTTCTTACACTGAGACTAATGAATATTGCAGGAATTTGGAATAATGACTAGAACAGGACTAGTATGACTTTTCAAATATATTTGGAATTTGTGGAATGGCAAGCATGAGCAATCTTGCTTAATTTTTAACCCTAATATAACTGGAAAAGTATTTATTTGAAATTTTTCTTGAGTTCTGACTCTGCTGACCAGAGATGCAAAGTACATAGTCCAAGTATATGGAGATGGTCTTATTCTGCTTTAGAAGGATTAATAGTTTCAAATCAAGATCAAAAGAATGTCCAATATATGTAGCATGTCATGCATCTTAATCTACCTTAAGCACATAACACATGTATAACACTGACCTTCACCTGGCATGTTAGTGATGCAAAGGAGTTAAGAGTTTAGGTTTTGTTTGAGCTCAAGGTAGTGTTAATTCTTGCTAAAATAAGTCATCCACAATATGCACTTAAGGGAAATTCAAAGCTATTACAGCAGATGGCCTGCCAAAAATCATAAGTCATCTATGACAGTCTAATAATGTTAAATTCTTTGAATATATGTAAAAATGGGGAAACTTGCAGGTCTAATTCCTGAAAATGTGGGAAGCACAGAATTGTATGAGAACACTAATGATCGAGTTGCACTGCCAATTCACACAGTTCTTTGTTATATGTAGTTTAATTTAATGGGGTGTTTAATTGTTTATAGAAGTTCAGCAATTTCTCCAGGAAATATGTTTTTTGTTTGCCCTCAATGAGATCCTGTGTGGCACCTGCAAGTCACCTTTTTTTTTTTGTCAATGTATTTGTCTAGCCAGGCAGCACTAAATTATTTCTAACGAGAAAATTATGAAGAAGACTTTGCTGTCCTCAAAAATGCCACATATGAGCTGCTTTTGTTTCCCTTGAAAGATTCATGAGAGCACAATAATGCAATACCATCATGCTGCATCTTGCATGTAGAGTTTTCCATTTGTTTTTTGCATGGTTGGCCTTTGCCACTGCATGATTTTTCTGATCCTTCTGAACATAGCTTTAAAATTATGGAATGAAGTCCAGGTTACATGCTTAATATAGTTAAATTTTGCTAAAATATGTACTTCTACCACATCTTCTGTGCTGATAGGTTTACTAAGGAAAATCTTAATTTCTTGGTTCAGTATTATTTCAAATGGCATCTGTGGTATATCAAATTGTCCCTTGAAGGATTTTCTTCTGTGTTTGACACACAAGAAAAATTTTTCTAGGAAGTGCCACTGAATAGTATGGTTGATTGGAGGAGAAAATATATTGCTATTAGGCTGGAATGTAAGGTTTAGCAGAAGAGAAAAGCAGGAGACTGCAGGAAGAAGAATCATGATACATTTGTCATTAAAATACTTCAGTGTGGCCAAGCAGGTTTGAATGTTTTTACAATGGAGTTCATATGTATGCTTAGTGCAAAAATATTTACCTGGTTTCATATTGTTGAATGGTGTGCTTATTGCTGTCAATGTGATTTTTCTAATGTGAACATTTCCAAATCAATGTATGGTCTGTTGGAGCTTCATCTTATTTGTAGAAGATTATTTTTCTAAGGATTTTTATTGGGACAGGACTTAACTGCTTTTACCATTTAAGGCTGTGTAATGTCCCCAGCCGAAAAAATCTTCAAACATTTAGACTACAGCTTAATAATTCATTTTGATTCCTGTTTCTGGACACAAGTCAAATATGAGACTTCTCAGCTCAGTTGTGTCCTCTTGCAATATACTACTTTAAATTGCTCTAGTTCCCTTGTGCTCGGTGGACATGACAATCATGTTCTCATATTTTCTGATGCCTTTAAAAGCAAAATTAGCACCAAAATTGACATTTTGTTGTTGGTTTAGACTGTTTCCATGCAGAATGGCTTTCTTTTGAAGTACAAATAGGTTGAATCAGTGCCACAACTAAATTCCAAATCTGAACAAAATAAAAAAAACCCATGTAATTGTTGCTTTTCTTCTAGTGTATGGAACTTAGACTCTTGGCTGCTTTACACACATTGCACTGTGGCTTGGATTATGTTGAACTTCAGTGGTATTTTACTAGAAGTAATACATTAACAGCAACATGTTCTTCACCCTTCTTGCTAATTTTCTTAAGATTTTTTCCCTG